ATAAATATATATATATGAAATATTAAAATTCTTAAAGATATCTGATAAGGTGTTTCCATTTAATCTAATAATATATTTGATTTAATTATTTACATATATTGAAGCAAAAAGTTGGCCTACTTAACTACCTCCACCTATCATAATTTAAATGAATTTCTTCCTCTAGCTCAACTGGCAAGTAGGAGAAGCCACGCTCTAGTCGCAGCGCAAGTTGCTGCAGCTAAAATTAGAGTTTAATTGTATGCAAATGGAGCTTGTTTGCTCGCATTCGCATTTTGGAGAATTTAGTGTGGAATTCGCTGGCATGTCTGCAGCTGAATAATTTATTGGCTCACATTTACAGAAATTAACGTGCATACACACACACACACATACGCAGAGGCGCTCATGGCTGCGGGTTCATGCATAATATGCATAAGTGTGTGTGTGTGTGCATCAAATAGGATTTTCGACTAATTGCAAAGTACTTAAGCAAAGCTTAAAACAAATGTAAAAGCAAATTTTTAATAAATTATTTATGCAAATGTCCCTTGCCAGAAGGAAATAAGGAAAAAAAAAAAGTGTTATCCTCATCCTTCTAGAAGAGGGCGTTGCCGTTGCTGCCCGCAAATGCAATCAAATGTGCAAAATTTAGTTACAGCCAACGCACATCGAATACGAGTCGCGTGTCGCGTGGCTTTTCACACAGAGCTCAGCTCAGTTTCTGGGGCGGCGGCGTAATAGATATTAAAGGATTTCCTGCATATCCTTGCTCAGTGACTGCGCCGCTTGCTTTGTTTTGTTTGTCTGTTTGTTTACATCGAGTCGCTGTCAACGGCACTCAGAGTCGGTCCGCATCCGTCTGGGCATTCAGATCGGCTGCCGGCTCCTGGAGCTGGCCATGCATGGATTTCTGTTTCAATTATGCTGCCCACCAATCAACCAGGCAGCACAGCCAGCAGCCCCTGCCGTGGGCCGTGAGTAGTTATTATAATATCAATGGGTGCGAGGTGTGAAAGCCCGTGAATTTATTCATTCGCCTGTCTCTGTTTTGACAACTTCGCCTCGTCCGACGATATATGCCCGTCATTGTATCACGCAAATCGGATTAAGATATTTCGTATTCGTTTGCCACATAATTGAATAGCCATGAGTGCGTGTATCTGTGTGCGCGTGTGTGTGTGTGAGTCTGTGTGTGAGTGCTTGAGCTGCACGCAGTAAATGAGAAGCAAATTTAAAATTTTACACTTGACTTAGCATTGTTGTCCTGTCATTTCACACGCTTGCCAGAGATTCCTCACAGTATGTCACACACACACACTCTCTCTCTCTCTCTATATATATATATCTCTCTCCCCTCTTCATCTGTGTGTGCGCCACAGCGATAAATTGTTTTTTACCCTCCGATCATACATAAGCTCGAGTTTTCTTTGATAATATTTAAAATCTTTATTTTGCTCACATTTTATATTTATTTCAATGTCAATTTTGATTTTTGATTTTGCTTGCCACTTAAATGCTAACATAGCGTTACATACTCATACATACTTAGTATCATAATAATTACATACTCATAATTCGTAATTTGTTAAAGTAATTACATACGCATGGCTCTATAATTGGGTAGATATGTCAAACATTGACTGGGCAACATCATTGGGCTTCGTTGGCTACGAATTGCAATATAATACACGAACTATATACAGGCGGGAGACTAAACAACACTTAAAGCAGTTTCGTATTTACAATGCGTCGGGCCGTCGCGCCTCGGGGGCGGCGTCCTTGGCTCGCTTTTCGAAGATTTGCAACAAACGCTGTTGCATCTTGCAATTTTATGAGTGCGAGTGGCTCAAGTGGTGCGCGCCGAGGGGGTGGAAGTAGGGCCCGTATGGCGGATAGGGCACGGCGTGCGGATAGAGCAGGCTACTGGCATACGCGCCGGGCCCAAATGATCCGCCAGTGGGAGGCGGCAGCGTCGGGCTATTCACATCCATGCCCGGATTCTGTTTTTTCCACTTGGTGCGTCGATTCTGGAACCAGATTTTAACCTGCAAAGGCCACAAAAATACCAAAACTCAGCAAAGAGTCCCAGGGCAGCAGTCAGGGCCAGTAAATGCTCACCTGCGTCTCAGTCAGGCTCAGGCTGAGCGCCAAATTCAAACGCTCGCACACACTTAAATAGCGCGTTGTCTTGAACTTGTTCTCCAGTGAAACCAGCTGCTCGTAGGTGAAGGCGGTGCGCGCCCTACGCGGCTTGGACCCACCGCCGCCGCCACCGCTGCCGGACTTGCCATCGCCATTGCGACTGCCGCCCTTCTTTGAGTCAGTCTCGCTGCTGGGATCGTCTATGTCGCTGCCATCGTCGCACATATCGTCCTGATCCATGTCATTGAGATCCTGAGCTGCAAGCGCAAGAGGATAGGAAAAGTTGAAATACAAAATAGTTTTTTTTTTTTTTTGCTTAATTCTTTTTGCATGGCGAKAGCTTCATCAATCAATTGAACTGACTGACCCCTTGGGGCCAGGCGTGATTTGCAAATGGAAATCAATCACTGCGCATCGTTGTAAGTTAATTGGAATCTTGGGCACATGCTGCCGCACATGTGTATATGGGCGGTCCAGTTGGGAACGCGCAATTGATTGCAGTGATGCGGCAATCAAAATTCAATTAACGCACGCCAACCACTGTCCAAGGCATATCGATTACCCAGCTGACTCCGTCTGGTACTCTTATATAGTCATAAAGTATATACTAACTACTGATTGGGTCATTCATTATTATTGTGCAAGCTCTATTGGTGGCATAACAAACGATGTAACTTTGCTCAAAATAAGAGCTAGAGAAAGAGAGACAGAGAGAGGAACTCAGCAATTCTCAGTGAGAAAGGCGCTTAGCGGAAACGGAGCTGCAAAGTGCATACGTCTGGTAATTGGTCAACATGATTGGCCATGTTTGCATGTAATTAGCCTGGCCATGACTACCTAGCAGAGGCAGAGGCAGAGGCAGAGCCAGAGCCAGAGCCACAGACAGCGCGCCAATTAAACAGAAAATTAACATGAACGCTTCATTTAATATTTAACGATTTTACTGACCGCCGACTCTGTCTGCTCTTTCAAATGCAAATGGCTCGAATGTCGCCTGTCGCACTGGTAATGGGCTGTGGAGTGTTTGCAGCCACTTTGATATGCATTAATGGCACATTAGATGCCCGAATATCATCATCATCATCATGAGCATCATCATCATCATCATCATCAATACCCATTGAACGGCTCCGACGAATGACGCTGACCACAATTGGTTTGAGTCAATTGAATTAACTGGCCCGTGGGGCGGCACTCCACCAGACGCTTAATGCGTCGACAAACAGACGCGAAAAAGTCGAAAGGTCTGTGCAGACGATGCGAATGGTGTTGGGGTTGGGGTTGTGATTGAGGATGGGGATGGGGTTGGCGCCCAGCATTGTGTACCGCTCTGAAAGGGTGTTTGCGCCCTATAAACAGCCAGCCACAACCGCAGCTGGTTAATAAGCGCTGCCCGAGCTGGCGGGTATGCCGGCGCGCTTTTCTAATTAGGGTAACTAGCCGTCCAGTCAGTGCAACAAGGCGTATACGTGTTGTCTGGCAACCGTTTGGATGAAGAGTCAGCAAAAGAGTTACGTTGAGTATGAAATGATATTTGAAATATTCTATTTATGCTAAAATAATTCGAAACTAAAAATATTGTATTTGAAGTATTAATAAATTCTAGTTAAAAATGTTGGTTTTATGTAAATGTAATGCATAAAATATATACATATATTGTATATAATCATATAATCAGTATATTTAAATTCTTGGGAATTTGGTTGATTATACATCAAAATATATTTCCAGATAATTTTATATTAGGCACACCCTTATAATGCGGCAAACGTTACTCTGTCGCAATTAGTGAGAGAGTAATGCTCGTTTATTATATCTCTGCTCATTTAACAGCACTTTCATTTACATTTACAGCTCTTGCTTACTCTTCCGAGGTACTTCAAATGTCAAGCTGGCTGCTCTCAAGTAAGTGTAGCGCTTATAAGTAATTTTCATGTTATGCCATAACATTAAAGATAAGACTCATATGGCTGAGCAGAAAAAAAGGAATAGATGTACACCTACTCATATACTCTATGCCCAAATTGTCGACAAGATTCAGCGAGCTAATCAGAATTAACATGATATAAAAAGCGAGGCGAAAGAGGAGCTTTGAAAGTATTTTCAAAAACTAAATCTCTTGTACGCTAATTGGAACGTTAAGAATGAGTTATTTTATTCGATAATATTATGTAATTTTATATAATATTCGGAAAATAAAATTATGTGAAATAAAAGTCTGGTAGTATAAAATAATATGCATGGAAACTGATGAGGACAATTGAGTTTATATACGTCATGGTTGTGTCTCATCTACAAGTATTTTTGCTAAGCTTAGAATATAATAATGTATTCAATTTATATATTATATACATCTCTTTGCCTATAAAAGTTTCATGCCAAGATACTTTACATAGCTTAAACCCTAATAGAAACTGTCTAAAGTCAATTGCGTTTCTCTTTCGGGTTTCAACTGAATGAGAAAACTTTTACATACTTTGTAAGGGTATAAGCAGCATATAAAAAAGTCTACATGACAACGTATAATTTTAAGCCATAATCTTAATTATGAAATCTGAGTGTTAATTACCATACACACATGTACGCATACACACACACACACACACACACTGGGAGAGACTCGGCAGACAAAATGGCTTTTAAATTTGGGTTCGAGCATTTTTGGGTTTCGGGCGGCTTCATTGTCGCAATCATTATAATCGCATACGCTTGGCCAATGCGACCCCGGGGAGCATTTGTCGTCTCATTTTGCCATTTTCATAAAATAATAAATGAGTTGCTGATGACGGATATAAAAAGCCGAGCCGAGCCGAGACTACGAAAATTGTCGCCTAACTTTACAGAGCTCACAGACACGCACACAAATCTGCAAAGCTCCCCAGAGCGCCAGCAGCCAGCAGCCAGGACTCTGCGACCAGCAATATACACCAATACATGAATACAAAGTATGTTATATATATACACACACACACACATTTATATTTATATGTGTGTGTGTAGGGTATATAGAGATGCATTGGCGTTGGCCATGCGTGCGAGCGAGAGCGCTAGCCTGAGCGCCAAATTGAGTGCTGAAAAGAATAAAAGTTTTCGCAGCCATTTTACTTTCTCGGGGGTTGGTTGGCAGCCGCAGCCGTTTCTCTCCCCTTGCCAGCTGGCAGCTAGCAGGGCATGGCCACCCACAGTTAAATGTTGCCACATAACCATTTTATTCGACCCAACCCCAGACAGCAAGTACATCCCCGCCATGCTCTGTGAGCCCACTTAGTTATCGCATGTTTTTTCATATGACTTTTGGGGCGCATTTTTTGTGCTGCTCGAGCATAATGCCGACTAGAGTGTGTTTGTGTGAGTCAGTGTGTGTGTGTGTGTGTGTGTGTGTGTGTAGATATGGTAAATTTCTAGCTATCCATGCTGCTATCCATGTTGTTTTTATTTTCTCCTCTGCCTCTGTCCCCGTCTGGTAGCAAGTGTATGTGTTTTGTATTGTGGCTTTCAGCGCAGCTTTTAGTGCATTTGCTAGTTGTGTGCTTTTGGCAGAGTTTTGTTTTGCATTTTAAATGATATGCAAATTGCTGTGCGCCCAGTGGCCGGCGACCCCAGCGAATGGCGCCTTAGAGAATTGCGCGCTGACAAATGCAGCGTATGCGTAATATATGTAAATTATTAAACGTCATGCACACACAATGCATCCGCTGTGATCCGATAAGATAGAGAGAAAAAGAGAGAGAGAGAGAGCAGTGGGTGGAGCATGAATGAGTGAGGCTGTCATAAAATCCAATTAGTTGCAAAGACAAAAGGCCACATAATTACGCTAATATAGAGTGAAGCGACCAGCAGCAACATTAGCACCTCCCAGGTCATAAAATTAAGTGTCTGATAGGGCAGGCACTCTGTATGTGTGTGTGTGTGTGTGCGTGTATTTGCATGTTGCCGGGACAGAGCCATTGAAGCGGCTAATGAATGTGCGGTAATTAAGTACCTTGCTAATTAATGACTACAGCATCACCAGGCAACAATCGTTGAATCGCAGGGCGCAAACAGTGCGTATGCGTAATGTGAACAGTCAAGTCGTCCGTCCGTCTGTCTTTGCTACTACTCGCTGTCCCTTTGCTGTAAACTTCAACTGACTGAACAGACGGCCAACAACAATGGTACGCACACCAACACGAACACGACCAGCTACATAATCATTGCCAGCATCATTATCCTGGTTGCGTTCCCACTTTGGCCCCTCGCCGCCTTTCCTGTCGTCCTTTCTGTTGTCGCCGCCGGCGCTTGGGGTCGTTGGCGCGGCCATTCAGTCTGTTTTATTAGCAGTTATGTTCGAGTACTGCGACGCCACACCCAACAGCAGCCAACTCCACGTCCGGCGCCATTGATGAAGCTAATTGTGTTTTATTAACACAAACACAAATGCACAAACAGCAAACAGTCACACAAACAGCCAACAACAACAACAAGAACAACAATAACAACACACAAACACTACCAGCCGGAGCAGCAGCAATGGCCGATAATTTGTTGCTGATAATGATGTTGTTTTTGTTGCTGTTGCTGCTGTTGTTGTTGTTGTTGTTGCTGTTGTGCTCTGCGCCATTTTCACTGTTGATAATTTCGTACATAAGCGCTTACCGAAGTGGCCAATAAAGCGAGTGGCTTGTTTGTGTGCGTGTGTGTGTGTATGTGGGTGTAAATGCGCGTGTAAATGTGAGTGCAACCAGCACTTTGGGCAAACTAAATGACTGACAAGCTGTGTATTCTCATTGTCAGTCGTCGCTAACATTGATTAAAGATAAACAATTGTTCATTTTGTGTTATCAAAACTTTTCATTTTGATTGACTTTCGATTGTAAATCATTCGATACGAATTATGATTAATCGCCAGGCGCTACTATTGAATTTTAATATTATATCTTTTGTTGACTCCTGCAGAACTACTCAAGAGTCTTCCGAGTTGATGAAAATGATAAGTTGAATTGGAAATTTATCTGGATTGAAGCCAATTAGTATTTAATTTATCATATTTCATCGCTAAAGTATGCAATTCTATCTATCTTAATAGATTTTGAAATATGTACAGAATTTTGTCACCTCAACTTTTAGCATATCTAAGAGTTAATAATTCTCCTCGACTTTCATGAAATGTTTTTAGCTTGGACTGATAATAAAATGTCTTATGAAAATTGTGTTGAATAATTTACAATTCGGGCTTTCAGCTTCCCCAATTATATATTATGAAATTTCGTTTCAATTTAGTTTTGCTTTAGTAAAATCTTTAAAAGTCTACGATATTTAATATTGAATTATGATCTACAAAATTTGATAGTTTCGACTCAAATTTGGCAGTTTTCAGAGTCATCAAAGGGAGTTTATTAGCTTTCAGTGATGTTGGCATTGAAAATGAAATGTATTTCAATTTAATTAATTACTATTTGGCTTATTAGTTATATATAAAAAGCAATATTAAACAATTTGTAATACATTTTGGTTCTGTATTAATTATAAATCTCTCAAATATTTAATAGTTCAATTTAAAAAAAAAAATTTAATATTTTCAGCTTTTAAAAAATCGATGAGCAATTTTCACAGACATAAAAAACTGTTTATTCCCTACAACTGATGTGAGTAAATAAAAAATAAATACAGAATGTATTAATATACCATTCGATTTTTCAATCATTAAACGAAGAACATTATGAATTTTCTGTCTATTTGGAGGTTTTCTTTTTATATTTGCTTAGCTCATAGCTTAGCACTTAATCGTAGTTTTTTCTCTATTCTCTATTCATAGTCATAATCACATTATGAGCCTTGGGCAAACAAAGCGATTGCAAAACTTGACTTTTTCCGTGTCCTGCGTGACTCACGGAAATGCTTCGCTTCTGAATGCTCTCGTTCTACCTATCCACTTTGTTTTCAAACGTTTATTTTGGCGCTTTGCCGCAGCTTAGCAGTTCGGCTCTGATGATGCTTTATCCGAGCACAGCCAGCGCCCAGCCCCACACAGATCCTATTGCCAAGTTCACCACACAGCTTCAATCAAATTTGCAAATTTTTATTTGAGGAATTTCTTTGGAGCGAGCGAAGCATGAAAATCAATTAATTTTCAGCAAAATGTTAGCCAACAGCTAGCAAAGGCGAAAAAAGATGAAAAAAGTAAAGTAAAAATGGAAGAAAAATAAAAAATTCAAATGGGAGCAGCCCAATACACCGGCTGCACAAAATCTGGCAAAAAGAAATATCGTAAAATTCCACACAGCAATTGCTTTTCCCAATTAAAACATCAATCAATCAATTAAAACAAATTCCATGCAAAATCCCCACTTGAATATGAGTGCAGATTTCAGTCTAAACAAGTTTTGTTCCTCACTCGTATTGTTTGCACACTTGTTTACCCGGCGAATATGCTCAATGTATGTACATATATAGGTATATATATGTATACATATATAACTGCTTTCATAGTACCAACGTACGAGCGAGGGTCTACGTGACTTACGTATGAAAACAGGCAAAACAAAATCTCTGCTCTTTCAAAATGGCAACTTTACCTCACCTTCTCTCTCTCTCTCTCTCTCTCTCACTCTGTGTGTGTGTGGGTGGGTATAAAAAGTAACAAAATCAAAATCAAAACATTCCAAAAGCTACAGGCGGCAGTTTAAATACAACCCGCCCACCCACACAATTGCACAGAGGACGGTGGAATAAAGTTGGCTGTTTGGAATAACAAGTGGAGGCAAGTGGAAAATGTTTTGCTGCTTCCTCTGCCCAACTGCACACACACACACGCACACATGCATGTGTGTGATATGTATATGTGTAAATGCTTAGGCGGAAGGCTGTGCACGAGATTCCAATAGGAGCGCACACAGACAGAGCCATGATGCTTGCTTTTTGAGCTACACTCCAGCCAGACACTCACCAGACATATCCTCGCTGTGCTCGTCGTCCAGGTGATCATGCATGTCCTCATCCCGATCGTAGCTCCACTGGCGCGGATGCCCGAAAGGCGGCGCAGTCGCTGGCAATTTGCTGCCCGTGAACTTATTGGGATCCAGGATGTTCTCCACGGAGAAGGCGAGGCGCTTGGTGGCCTCTCTGTCGCTGGCTCCACTGGTGGAGGCGGTGCTCGCACTGTTCGCGCCATTCGGCACGGAGCGCGTCAGATCCACTGGGCAGACCTGATTGAAGAGCAGGAGTAGAGCAGGACAAGCAAAGCTGAGCATGGAAAGACCCGAGGATAGCCAATGTGAGCGTTCAGAACTTACCGACGGCGTGCTGTGCGATCCGGAGCCATCGTTGCTTTCCTCGTCGTTGCCATCCACATTGAGCTCTTCGCTGGTGTCGCTGCGCGCATAATTAGCGGCGGCAATCTGGCGAGATGTGGCTGCCGCTGCAGCTGCTGCTGCCGCCAGGCCGCCCAGCTGTATTCTGAAACCGTAATCGCTCAAGTCGCGACCAGGGGGCGAGACGGAGGCGGAGCTGGTTGAGGCGGCGGTGGATGTGCTGGGCGCTTGGCTTTGACTGGAGCGCGCGGCAACCGCGGCCACCAGCTTAATCCGCTCCAGATCCATCTCATTGGCGGATGTCGGACTAATGCTGCCCATCACTGGATGCGGACCGGCGCCCAAGTGCAGCTGCATTGCCTGTGGCGGCGGTGGCTGTGGCTGTGGAAGCTGTTGGTGCTGGGGCGGTGCTGCCAGCGCTGGATGCGATGGATTTGCTGGTGCTGCGGTGGTGCCCGAGGGCGAGTCCCTTTGCGGCTCGGAATGTGTCGTTTGGCAGCTGCCGGAGCCAGCGCCTGTGCCTGCGCCTGTGCCTGAGCCAGTGCTGGGTGATGTGGGTGGCGACAGTGGCGATGTGGCTGGCGAGGGTGGTGCAGTGGTGTTGCTGGCATTGGCTATCGCTGCAGGTGCACGCAGGTGGAATACAGCGGCTGCTGCATGATGCGGATGTGAGTGGGCTGAAGGGTGGTGATGGTGGTGCATGTGCTGCTGCTGCTGCTGCTGATGGTGGTGGTGCTGGGCGGCAGCGGCTAGAAACTGTGGATTCTGCAGCAGATGCGGATGCTGTTGCAACAGTGCGGCATGTGGATGCTGCAATGGCTCCGGCCGTGCCAAGTGACGCACTGCGCTCAGCTCCAGCAGCTTTCGCTGCTGCGCTGGCAATGGGAAGACGCCGACGCCGACGCCGACTCCCGAGGCGGGCGGTGACTGTGAGCGGCGCACGTTGCTCTTGTTGTTGTTGGCCAGGTTATTGTTGTTGTTATTGTTATTGTTGTTGTTGTTGTTGGTCTTCTCCTTGTCGGCATCTTCTTGTGTGGGCGTGAGGCGACTGAGCATTCCCGCACTCTCGTTGCTCATCTGCTTCAAGCGCTCAATGGAGTAGCGCAGCTCCTGCTCCTGCTTGGCCGCCTGCCCACTGGCGGCTATGATAAACTTGGGCAACTTGGCCACGGGAGCGCTGATGGATGTGCTGGCACTGGTCGCAGTGCTGGACACCGACACCAGCTCGGCGCCCACATTGCTGCCCACGTTGGCCAGATCGGGCGAGGTGTTTGACTTGGGCGAATCCGGATTCGAATTGGGACTCATCAGGCCGCCGACGGCCGTGGGCTGTGCCCCGATGCTATCGCTAGGCTTTTGCACTGGTGACTGCAGCATCACCATATCGCTCGCTGCACTTGTCTCTGGGCACTTTACCACACTGGGTGAGTTCACTTGAGCACTGTCTATGCAGGTATTCACTATTGTGACTCACTATTCACTATTCACTGCTAATTGACTTCACTTGTTCTGTTCGCTTGCCGCGCCGTGGTGTTGTCACCTTGATTGCAGCCAATCGACTGTCACTGATGCCGGCGCGTATCTCTCAATATCTGCAGCTGATGTTGCTGATGCTATGATGCTGTGATGCTGCTGATGCTATTAGTTCTTATTGTTGTTGTTGTTGTTGTTGTACTTTTACGCTTATCGCATTGCTTTTGAGCGTAATCCGCGCGTGCGACACTCTGCTCGCAGCCGGGGCTGAAACGGAAATGGAAATGGAAACGGTAATGGGAATGTCAATAGTATTGCTCGACACAGTGTTTGAGGGTTGCTGCTGCCCGCTCGCTGCTGCTGTCGCAGTCGCTGTCGCTGTCGAGTGAATCTTGAGTCCAGATGCTGTGGCAGTGGCTGTGGCTGTGGCTGCCGCTGGCCCGTGGCAAGTCAACTAAATGGAAAGTGAACAAATCTGTTGCGGCGTATGTCGAGCTCGTTGCTCGTCGYGTTGGTGGTGGTGGTTGCTTTGAGTGGATCGGCTTTGCGCTCATATGCTCTCCTGCTGCTGCTGCTGCTACGTCTGCTCTCTTTGTACGTACTGCACACGCCCCCAGCTGATAGTTTGAGTGAGTTGTGTGATTTGAGTGAACTGGCTCCTCCCTCGCGCCATGCTCCGGCTGGACCTAATCTCGGCTAGCATCTAATGATTTAATTTGCCTTGTCCTCGTTAGCAAGCGTAATGGTCTGTTCCTAGGTCTCGGCAGCACTGGGCATACCCACCCAAGTGCCCACATACGCAAGCTATCTTGCTCTTCTCCAGCTGCCCTCCATCAACTCAATCGCTCTACCCTCTCTCTCGCTCTCTTTCTGTCTCTCTAATACACACACACGCACTGGGATATAAGCTGCTGCCCAGCTTTACGTAGTTTTTACATTTCGTCTACCCCGTCCCCCGTTCAATTGCCATCCAAATATGCGCTCGAGGATGTGAGTAATTGTCAAATTATTTAGCGCAAAAATTGTTTGCCTTTGCGCTCCGTTGGCTTCGAAATGGATCTGAGCTTTTTATATTTCAAATGTGCGCTGTTTCATAAATGTATATATAAATATATGTATATATA